AGTTGAACATGGGTATCTTTTCGCTATTTTACGCATATTTGGCCTGCCAGAGCAGTATGTGCGACTGGTAGAAATACTTTATCAGGACCTCTCAAGCTGTCTTTATTTCAACAATGAAGTGACCAGAAGCTTTGCAATTCAAAAAGGGGTGAGGCAAGGCAGTCCGTTGTCTCCAGTATTATTCATTTTGTCTCTAGAGCCTTTGATTAGAAAGGTTGCAAACTGCGAGCGCATAGTGGGTTTCCCGATGCCAGGCAAGGAAACCTTCAAAATTGTCACATACGCCGATGATATTTCGGTATTTTTTCGTAAATTGTCTAGCTATAATACATTCTTTGACAGTTTTGCTGAGTATTCCTATCTGTCTGGTGCTCCTTTAAACGGCACCAAATGTAAGGCATTGGTCTTTGGAGGCTTCAGAGAACTATTGCCAAGAGACTTAGGATACGTTCAAGCTGTTAAGGTGTTAGGCGTTTACTTTGAGGAAGGAGGTGTATAAAAAAAGACCTGGGATGACGTGCGTAGGAGATCTACCGATGTCATAGCAGCAGCCACTCATTTTAACCTGTCACTGACGGCAAAAGCAACAGTAATCAAGGCACAGGCATGCGCTTTTGCGTTTTACACAGCACACATCGCCCTGCTACCTCGCCGTGTTACAGGACGCCTCGCCGCTATGGCGGGGACCTTCCTCTGGGGAGAAAAACCAGCAAAGGTACGGAGGAAATTTTTACAGCTTCCCACAAACCGTGGAGGCTTGAGCCTCCCAGATATACCAACGTTCACGAGAGCGCTGGCTGCAAAAACAACACAGAAGCTGTTTGATGACCGCAACTACCCCGGGTACAGGCTCATGATGTACTGGAGCAGTACACTAAAATGTACTTTCACGGCCAATCCGTACATCGGACCACGAGCGGAAATTCCGCTTAAGTTTTACAGAGCTGCCAGTGGCTTAAAAAGAACAGTAGAATCAACAGGTTCATGCAGTCTGGAAGATGTTTCATCGCAAGAAATAAGCGAAATGGTGACAAGTAGCACACTGAGCAAAGAGGAAGAAACAGCATCCTGCTCGAGAAAATGAAAACGCTGGCGTTGCAATCGCGTACCTAATCACGTGCGCGAGTTTGATTGGTTGAGAAGATGGAGAGAATTGCCTACGCGAGACCGGTTAGCACATTGGGGAGTCGTTCCAAATGACCGCTGCCCAAACTGTGGCAAAAGAGAGACGACCCAACATGCTCTGTTTCAGTTTTCGGTGGCGAGGAGCGTCTGGCACATGGTACAACGCCTCTTTCGCTTTCGCACGGCGCGCATGGGAACAAAGCGTGGGCTGTTTGCAAGACTGGTCTTTACAGTAACCTTGTACGTACTGTAGCGGCGACGCTATTTAGTGGAAGTACGGCACAAGCCGCATAGAGGCGCCTATCCCACACTACAGAAAAATCGGCTCATTATGTGGAATTACCTAGATCAGCAGCTGGAAACGCACGGCGAAGATGCCTTCCTTCGACGATGACACACACGTTTCTTCAATGTAAGAAAGGGACAGCTGAGGTTTCCAGTTGTCCCTTACTAGCCATGCGCCCACTCTAGTACGCATGTATAAGTGTTATCCTGTTAAATGTGATTAACTTGATTCTTTTTAATTTTCCTTTCACTTGTAACATTTCGATACTCAGTGATCAATTAGATTTTGGTGCTCATTTGTAAGATGTATACATTGTGTTTACTTGTTTTGGATGTTTCGTTTGTGTACGTACAAGTTAAGTGTACAATAAAATTCCCTTTTTCGCCCCAAAAAAGTGCGCGTGATAGCAGATGTTGCGGACCGGCCACGCCAAGAGGGGAGGGCGCTGCACATCGTTGAGGTAATCGCACTTGCACCTGCTTGCACCGCGTTTCGCGAAAGTGTAATCTCACTAATCCTCCCTATTTTGTGACAGTCGTATACAGACGTCATCCGGCAAGTGTGCGATGTCATTTTTTGACATAATACCGCAAGCATATAAGACATATGACATATTACAGCAAGCGTATTAGACATTGCTTCACTTCATGCACAACACAGGTCTAACGGCACACATCTAATACCCATGTGGAGTTTTTCTTTCTTTTTTTTTTCGAGAAAGAAACAGGAAAACGTAGTTTCTTGGACCTCCTCTAACAATTTTTTCACCAGCGTGCCCATGTCCCTAAAGCGAGAGAGAGAGAGAGAGAGAAATAAAAGGAACAGACATGATGGTTTACCAGACCCCTGTTTTTGGGAGGTTTTCCAAAAAATACCTCGGAATCAACATATGTAGTCCGTTATTGTGGGGATTCAGGGGTAAATTTGTATTTCACTAAGCTTGATTTAGATTGTTATAAAGTCTAAAGCTCGGCGAAATAATGATATATGTATCACACAAATCCTAATCCCTTATTATATAATAATAATAATGATATGGGGGTTTTACGACCGAAAACCAGATAGGAATATTTGGGACGTGGTGGTTTCGGGCAGTTAAACCCCACATGTCAATATTAGAGAGGCTGTAGTGAAGGGCCCCGGAAATTTCGCTCACCTGGTGTTCTTGAACGTGAACTGACATCGCACAGTACACCCGCCTTTACCATTTCACTTCAATCAGAATGTGACCGCAGCGGCCGGGATCGCACCTACAACCAGCAGTCGAGCCCCCTAGCCACTAAGCAATATCTGGGGTTTTACGTGTCAAAACCACAATATGATTACAAACCACGTCGAATTGGAGGGCTTAGGATATTTTCAACCATCTGTAGTTGTTCAACGTGCCGTGATAAAGCACAGTACACGGGCTTTAACCACCGCGGCCGGGATGGTCTTCGTTCCTGTGTTCTCCGTATTCCTTGCGTTGATATGTCTCCCTCAGAAATCAGTCACAAATCCAGCTTAAGTGATGCGGCCTATTCACGAGAGCATGACAAAGCATGGATCCTAAACACTTGAAACCATACCAGCGCAGATAACTCACTGTAGCTGAAGGTATCTTTGGTAGTGTCACCGATAGCTAGCACTTGAGTCACCGATAGCTAGTGCCATAGCCGATGAGGTAGGTTGAAATGAAACTAGCGCTCTCACAGGTGGGTAGGAGCGTTCGGCGGGCTGCACCAAAGGGAGAGATCGAGCAGCCATGGCTATGGCATCACTTAGAAACATGCACTTCATTGTTATAATAATAATAATAATAATAATAATAATAATAATAATAATAATAATAATAATAATAATAATAATAATAATAATAATAATAATAATAATAATAATAATAATAATAATAATAATAATAATAATAATAATAATAATAATAATAATAATAATAATAATAATAATAATCTTTATTGTCATCTTGAGTTGTACAAAACAAATAACAGGCCTGTCAAAGCCAGACGGTGGTTTGGAGGACTTCGCCCGGCACATCGGCAGATGAGATATGACATATATATTGAAAAGCTTTTCATGTAAACAATCAGAGAAAGAATACATGTAACTCATTTACGCTACATATAAACACAATAACAATCCAGAATCAAATTAGCGGAAGGAATACTACCTAAACAGCAGAAATGTGAATACAAGCATTGAAAATTTTTAAATAGATTATACCCAGTATGCAAGGAACTAGAAAAAAAGATAATAATGCGATAACTGATGTAGCAATAAAGAGACCTTAGGCTCTTTCGTAGACTGCGTTTAGTCGTTGCCGAAAAAACACTGTCGGGGATGTCATTAAGAACAGTAGGGACATAGACCTTTATAGTAGCTTTGCCATATCGCGTTTTGACGAATGGTACAGAAAAGCGGGCAGTTTTTCTAAATATACGAGGGGTAATGCATTCGTTTTTGAACTGTGAGCCCCAGAAATGCCGTAACACAACAGTTTGGTTAAAGGACGCTTTGAAAGATGGCAGGCGAAGTAGAGAAAATAAATTTACATTGTCTGTTGAAGAACGATTATACACAATGGATTTCAACATACTTTTTAAAATATTTTCAACCCGACGCTGCCATCGTGGAAAACAGAAAGCAAATAAAATGATTGCATATTGTAAGATAATGATTGCATATTGTAAGCTAAGTTCCTGTAAGATAATATACGCAAGAGCAAGCATGATTGTCACTTTAATATTAGTGGGTGCAATTAATCTAATATTGAAAAGTAACCACGAGATTTTTCGTAGTCTGTCACAAATGTAAGCCAAATGATCATTCCAGGACAGGTTGCTATCGAAGAATACACCAAGATATTTTATAGAATTAACATATTCAATGGGAGTACACTTACAAGAGGCGAAATCACGGGCATGAACAGGTAGGGGTGCATTCGTAACCATTGCTTTCAATGAATTTTTAAAGCAAACTAATTTCGTTTTTTTTCTGATTAATCACCAGGCAATTATCTGTAAACCGTGACGCAGCCTCATAAACACTCTCTTGTAGTAGTGACAACGCTTTATTGTAACATACATGTTTCGTTAAGAGAACAGTGTCGTCTGCATACTCAAATACAAGACAATTTGGAACAGCAGCAGTAAAATAATTTATGAGTATATTAAATAAAAGAGGAGATAAAATGGATCCCTGTGGTACACCAGCTTTCAAAGGAAGCCTTGAATTAATAATAATAATAATAATAATAATAATAATAATAATAATAATAATAATAATAATAATAATAATAATAATAATAATAGGATTTTTCTTGCTGTGGCTGTTTGAGAGAACTTAAAGTTCAACGAGAAATACGGAAAGAATGCTCAAAGGGGATCAAAATTAAGGCACATTCATGATATGACAAGGCCACATTAGTTCAATATCCATTCATATGCTCTTTCAAGGGGTGGGGTGGTAAAGGACTCGATATTATGTAGATACCGATTCTACAAGTGTCATGTTTGCCTAAATCAGCTGTCATCTTGACCTTATATTAAGCTGGGTGCGTAAAAACGTTGGAAATAACTGAGTTGGAAAAACTCACCGGCACGTATGCCTTCCACTTCTGCGTTTCGTGAACCTGGAGCCAAACGTCCGTGAGTTGGGTGCTCACGCACGATACCACGACGCATTCGCCATTTTCGGCCAACAGCCGGCGCACGTTCCTGTAAGCAGCCTGTTGGTTTTTCACAAAATGGAAGCACATGAACGAGTAGACACGTTCAAACTTGCCATACTTGCCAATAAACAGCGTAACGTCATCATCTTTTTCGATGTCCAGCACATCGTAGAAGATCTCGGAATGCCACGTGCTCTCGCGGGCGTACTCGACGATCCTGGGACAACGGTCGACAGCGACGAGCCTTCGACAAGGACGCGAGAAAGGCAGCAGGTGGTTGCGGGTGAACTTTCCCAGCCCGCAGCCGACGTCCAGATGTTGGTGGTGTCTCTTGGAAGCTTTACAGAAGCTGATCCGCTGCCAAGCGTTGAGGTCTTCCTGGCTCGGATACGACTCGACACTCACGTACGTCTTAAGGTCCACGCTCATGTTGGCGGGTCTCGCGGTGGGCTGGTCGAAGGAAGACTTCATTACTACGAACGCGATATATTCGAAATCTACAACCACAAGAGCCTCAGGATGCGAAATTACCGGTTTTAAAGCGTTTTCAATGCACCGCACCAAGTTTCCAGCAGCTACATGAGGCAAAGACTCTGGGACGTATCGTTGACGCCGGCCACTGTATGGCTGCGTCAACAAAGATAAGTCGCTGTACAGAGAGAACTTGCGATAAAGGAAAGCAACCTCAAGTGAGTCTTGGCACAATGCATTCGAATACGACTGTGTAAGGAAGAATTGTTTATTATCGGCCGGCAAGCGGCCGCCTTCCACTCTTGAGGGAGCTCTCTGTTGCAATAATGCTCAGTGCTTTAAACAAAGAAAGCTAGAATCATTAGTGGAAGAACAGCTTTGTGTCTGCTTCAGTGCGAGGTTGATGCGTCAAGATCTCTTTACAACAAGCACACAGTGCGGTGAGACTGGGTGATAAATCGGGTCAGTTGGTCGAATTTCATCTCGATGAAACAGCGTGTTTCTGGGCGAGAGACAATAACATTGGCGTGCGCATGGTTCTCTATTACAAGGCATATATTACAGCGCTTCCCCTCTCCTCCCTTCTCAGCATTTATTTATTCATTATTTTAAATACATCAAAGGCCCCTGCTGGGGTAATACATGAGGGATGGGCATTAATTACTGAATAAAAAAGTGAATCGAGGGCAATCTTGAATTGATGCGGGTCGGACTGGTGCACGGTAGTTGCAGGCAGATCGGTTCCAGTCCCGTGCGGTTGTCACAAAAAAGGAGCGAAGCGAAGATGCGCGGTGCATTGGGATGGTGGAGGATACACTGCGCTTGAATGGTTTGTGCAGCTTGATGAGCGATGGACTGGCAGGATGGCTGGAACTTCGATGGGGGTATGATAAAATTTGTGAAAAAGGCATAGTCGAGATATGTGACGTCGTAATTCTAGATTAGAAAGGTGAGCGCGAGTTTTAAGTTTGGTAACACTGGAATTGTAGGTATATTCAGAATAGATAAAACGCGCATCACGGTTTTGAATCGATTCCAGAATGTTGGATAAGTGAGATTGATGGGGATCACAGACAGAACATGCATACTCTAATTTTGGACGAACAAGTGTGACATACGATATTAGTTTAACTGATGGGGGCGCAAGTCTCAAGTGTCTACGTAAAAAACCCAGAGTGCGATTTGCGGAGTTGGCTATGTTCGTCACGTGGGTTGACCAGGAAATGTTACTTGAAAATGTGACACCAAGATATTTGTAAGATTCAGCGGGTGAGACTGCAGAGCCGGAAATGGTATATTCTGCTGACTAGTGATGAGGCCTGCGATAAAAGATACCAACGAAGTTTTCTTTATGTTTAAAGACATTTACCACTTATCGCACCAGAATACAATTAGATTGAGGTCGTTTCGAAGTGTAGTAGTGTCTGAGCTGTTTGCTATGGGACGGTATACGACGCAGTCGTCTGCAAAGAGGCGAATATTTGAAGAGATGTTTGATGGAAGGTCATTGATGTAAATGAGAAAAAGTATTGGTCCGAGCACTGTACCTGGCGGCACACCAGAGATTGCAGAGGAACGGCTAGATGAGACGGAGTTAGCATGTACAAATTGTTGATGATTGGTAAGGAAACTGCGAATCCAAATAAATACATTTGTATTAATGTTTAGACGAGAAAGCTTTAGTAGTAGCCGTTATTGCGGGACTTTGTCGAATGCTTTTTCAAATTCTAAGAAGAGGGCGTCAACAGGTATGTTTATGTCGAGGCTGGAACTGATATCATAATAAAATAAAGCTAGTTGTGCGCCACATGAAAATCCTGAGCGAAAGCCGTGCTGACTGGAATGAAAAAAATTGCCCGCAGCTTCCCTCGGGGGAACACTGAGGAGGATGCGGAGCATATAATTGGTTAACGGGGTGTTAAAGTGCGACTTACTTGGGTCGATGGCTAAATTGGTTAACGTGGTTGTGAAATGGGGTGTTAAATTGCGACTTACTTGGGTCGATGGCTAAATTGGTTAACGTGGTTGTAGGAGGGGGTGTTAAATGAGTGAACACGTACACACGTATGCGAAAGGGCGGCGCTGGTCGAAGGGACGTCGATCATTGTGTTTGTGGATTCGTTGGAATTCATTTCACCGCGACCTTGGACGTCGACGCGCCGTACAAACCAACCGACGAGCGGCAACTGAGCGAGCGAGCGCCGACCTTGAGTATATATACAGCACGACGGCGCATGCACTGTCAGCTGTTGAATGTTCTCGAAGCGCGACGCCACATGCGCGTCCACTGGAGAATCAGGAGAATTGTAGATGTCGAACGCGGTGTGTAGAGGAGGAAGGGTGCACAGATGGTGGAGGAGTGAAGCGCGCGCGGTGTGTAGAGGAGGAAGGGATGCACAGATGGTGGAAGAGTGGGCGACGGCGCGACGGCGCATGCGCGCGCGTCAGCTGTCGAATGTTCGAGAAGCGGTGCGGACGGCGCGGACGGCGCACTACAAGGCGCGAGTATAAGATGCTTCCGCATCTAATAGTTATTGCTGGCTAAGAACTTGACGATGTTAGAGTAAATCACATGCTCCATTAGTTTGCAGCAAATGCTAGTAAGAGAAATGGGATGATAACTGCTGTAAAGAGATGAGGGAAATTTTTATGGGCACTGGAACAATCTTGCCCGCTTTCCAGTTTTCCGGCACCACTCCTGATGATAGTGACTGCTGAAAAATATGACAGAGTAGTGTACTAGCAATGGATTTCGTGTTTTTGAGCATTTTCGCGTTGATACCATCGATGCCGCATGAAGATGTGAGTTTCAGTAAGTCGATCAGTTTTGCGATGCCGTTTGAGCAGAATGTGATGTCCGGCATCTCGCTATGGTTGAGATAAAGAAATGAAGGCAAGTTATCGGCAGGTTCAACGGTAAACACGGAAGAAAAAAAGCTGTTAAGTTGTTCAGCGGCCTCGTGATCGGGATCGGATGGTTTTGATCGTTGTGCAGTACTAATGGTTGGAAGGTACTGGGGTTAATTGTGTTCCAGAATTTTCGGGGTTGTTGCTTAACATAACGGACAATGTTAGTGAAAAACTAAACGTTTTTCTTTGTTAGCAAGTTTATCGAATTTTTTTTTCTGCAGCGTAGTACCTGTTCCACGCACATGTGCTATTGGACCGCCTTGCCGATCGAAAGAGTCGTTTCTTTTTGTTGTTTAGGCGTTTAAATGTGATGTTAAACAATTGGAATGACTTTTTCTTGGTTACGGTAATCGTGGGCACATGCTCGGTGAATAGATCTAACATTTTGTTTTTGAATAGCAGCCAATAAGCTTTGACCGAACGCTTTGAAAGGTCGATAAGAAACAAAGCAGCGAATTGCTCGAGGTCTGAGTTCTTAGAAGAGGAACAATTCCCTTGATCATACAGTGTTACACTTTTGTTGTTTTTGTTGAATAGTTTAGTTTACAAGAACAGGACGCATGGATTACTAAGGGGTCACTGAGTTCTGGTAGGAACGTCATCTGGGACACTCTTTCAGGCTCAGAAGTGAGAACAAGGTCAAGAATATGAAGAGAGTTATCACTGTCACACGTATATTCATTGACTAATTGCGTTAATCCAAACGTTTGATATGAATTGACGAAATCGCTCCCTATACTGTTTTTGGGAGCCACACATGCTAGGTTAGTCTAAGATATAGCTGGAAAATTGAAGTCGCCGAAAAGCAGTATCGGAAAATTTCGATAAAACTTAGTTAAGGAGCGAATAGCCTCCTGGAATTCAGACACAAAATGGGGGCATCTACCAGGGGGACAATAGCAAACACCGATTATTGTGGGGGGATAACAAGCATTACAAACACCAAACATGATTTTTAAGCATGATGATGTCTTAATTTCGCTACACTGAAGATCTTTATGGCTACCTATTAGTACGCCGCCACCCCGTTTATTGGTATGATCACGTCGAAACACATCGAAATCTGGGAAAAGCTGTAGCAACTGATTGTCGGTAATAGAAGGGTTAAGCCATGTCTCTGTAATCGCGAACAAATCGGATTCCGTTGTATTAATTAGACTTTAAAGAGTGTCGGCTTTAGGAACGATGCTTCTTATGTTGGTATAGAGGAATGAAAAAGGCTTTCTTCGCGGGGTGGGATTGCTGGGGCTTAAGCATTTAAAGGGCGCTGTACAACCTTTTGAGCGTTGTGGTCGTACGTGTAAGTATTGCTACCAACGATTAACTTGTCATGTCGAAGGCTGAACGGTTGCCGTTGGGCTCTTCCGAATTCAGTAAGATGTTTTCTTGCTAGTAGTGTGTTGGGGTAGCAATCTTCAGATATTCGGTAATTGGAACCCTTTAGTTTATAGGCACACGACAGAACTTTATCTTTAGTCTTAAAGTGAGCAAATCTAACGATGAGTGGGTGGGTTTTGTTTAGTTTGTATTTTTGAAGTTGAAGTGGAAGTTTATTGTGACATCATGAAAATACAAGTTACATGGTTCATAAGTATTACAGAAGGAAGTCCCGAAGTAAACACTGTCAGGAGGACCTCCTAGCGATAATGTGTTGATTGGAGTACAGGGCAGGCAAATGTCGAGCAAAAGAAAAGACTGGGCACGGCGGCACAGCCGGTATGCGGTGGTCTGAAAATCCGTTTGTCTTCCTTCTACAGTTCCTTGGATTGCTGGGCCCCCTTTTTGCCGAAACTTTCAATCTGTGAGTGGGAGATGCGCATGCGCCGCACCCTGCGACCAGCCTCATCTTTCCTTGCCGGTCATCAACTGCACACCCGGACCACTTGCCTCTACAGCTATCAGCCACGTGGGCATCACTGATACCAGAAGCCGTCCAGGCGGCGCCGTTGCAGATTCCGGCTATATATGAGCGTCCTGTTCACTCCTCGGCCACTGGGCATGGCGGCACAGCCGGTATGCGGTGGTCTGAAAATCCGTTTGTCTTCCTTCTACAGTTCCTTGGATTGCTGGGCCCCCTTTTTGCCGAACCTTTCGATCTGCGAGCGGGAGATGCGTATGCGCCGCACCCTGCGACCAGCCTCATCTTTCCTTGCCGGTTATCAACTGCACACCCGGACCACCTACCTCTACAGCTATCAGCCACGTGGGCATCACTGATACCA